CTTGGCGGGAAGTGGCGCCGGTTGCTCTTCCCGCCAAAAAATATTTCGTAAACAGCAGAAGACACTGTCTGTGGGGACCGTGAAACTGAGGGACTGGAGCGCACAAAAATCACAGTAAAAGAGAATTATCATGGTTTTTATGCGTTTTTGCATATTCTTGGGAATGTGTATATCCCAGAAACGTGGTACCAATTCTCAGGCACGTCTGATGCTCCACTGCAAGCGCGTGAAAGTTTTTAATAATAAAAAGAAAATACAAAAGGTGGCCCTAGAAATAATATCGTTAAAGGGCGAAGTGGCAGTTTTCCTTTTACTGCGCATCCGGCGATCGGAGAATCCCGTGGCGACAAGTTGGACAAACGGAGAGTCCTCTCGGATCGTCGTCAGCAACGCTCGCCAGTTCGATGACGCGCTGGCTTTCGCTAGAGACCAATGCCGGGACATGGCGCAGCTGCTTCGGCATGTTCACCTGGCAGTCCTGCAGAAGCCGCATCTCCTCGGTCAGCTCCTGGAGGTACCTGAAAATCCTTCATCAGTCACGCAGGAAGGCGGTAAAACTAAGAGCAGACCTGTAACTGCGGTAGGACCTTGTTTATGAGTCGAGAAAAGTCTGAATGTGATAATAACAATAGCTCCCTTGCTTCCCCTTTTAAAGCAACTTAGATCGGTACCAATATGTTAATTTTAGCGGAATTATGTTGCTCCCATTACTGGTCAACAAAGTACACCAACTCGTCGTGGCTCTGGAGTAACAGCAGCTAAAGCCTTGCCAAGTGGTTCTCCGCTGGGAACATCACACTGAGCCTGGAGATTTGAAACAGACGTGGTTCGACGAAACGAGAGATTTGATCGAAATGAAAGTGAGGATACGAAATTGATAAAAACCCTATTGACAGTTTTTGCCATGTTGCTGCGTATGAATCCGTTGGACAGTGAGGTGGGCTGGACAAAAAATGGCTTTGTGAACAGAAAAAAAACCACTTCGTTTCTTTACGTCGTGCTAAAAACAGCCCTTGATCAGCCAGCGACACGGCTCAGAGGACAGACGATAGGGTGCCACGATGCGGAGACGGCGAAGTCTCAAACATCGAGAGTTTTCTTCAGTTTTAGCTTTAGACCCAGACTTCTGCTGACGGACGAGGTTCGCAATCATTGTATTAATCATGCCTTGTCGTTTCTCATCATCGCCTTTGTCATGCCCAGTCGTTTCGCTCTGACGAATGAAGCTGACAAAGGAGAACTGAGTAATCAGTGGATTGCTACTGTGTCTCTGTCGCACCGAGGTCCTCTGATCTCCTTCAAATCACATTCCCTAGCACAGGCAGACCTGGTACTCACTGTTCTGGGTACTTTTTCTCAGAGTTTAAATCCGACTTTTAGGAAAACCGGCATAATTCGTTTCCACCGTAAATTGCCAGGATGCTGGAAAAGCTATTAGCATTTCGCGCTGAATTTCATCGTAGCGCCCGAGCTGTGGGATTTCACTCGTCGTGTGTTGCCAAAGTCGGTTTGTTTCGGAAGCCACGTTATGAGAAATACCAGGGACTCCCGGACAACGGATACGGTGATCCCATGAGAGTGGTGCCACCGGGTGCTTTTTGGCGCGACTGTTCCTTGATTAAACTAAACATTAGCAGAATTTCTTGACCTTCCTGAAGCGTTGTTCTAGCATAAGCGGATCTAAAGTGGCCTCTTGGGCGGGGAGGGATTTTTCATCCCCGCTCCTACCTTCGTTATTGCACCCTCTTGGCCAGCTCGCACCCAACCCTCAATCGTCACGTCATCCCCCTCCCCGGCCCCAGCATGTCCCACACTCCGCTGCCACCCCCGTCCCCCCTAATGGCCAAATTACGGCGATAACCGGTAGAGAGGAGAAGGTCGGAGACAGGCTCCTTCGACGGGGGGCGGGGCGAGCGGGGTGGGGAGAGGCGATGTCGCATCGAGTTTCCTACTGTAAAGTAGCTGCCATCTGAGCTCCTGACACCTGAACTCCGGAAGGCTCCTCCCCCCTCCTCTCTGGATCCGCTAGTGAGCTCTTGTGTTTTTCTGGATTTCCCTTCGGCATTTTTTTACGAATTTATGTTCTAGGTAGCATTTCCAGAGAGTTTCCAGAGCAAGCGAGCGAGTTTCCAGAGCAAACAAATAATCCGATGAAAATTTGAGAGGAAATCTGAATTATTTTGGTTGTACCGTAAGCATGGTCTTAATTTTTGCGATGAGGACTTTTCTGAAAAATTTTTTAGAGAAGAAAGGCAATTTTGGAACATTTTTGTCGAAAAAAACATTTTCGTTTATCAGGATCCCTTCAAAATTAATCCTGGGGCATACACGGCGCAAAAGTAATGATTCAACTTTCAGTTTTTCCTATTCGTGCGTTTGCTGAACTTCTTTGGTAAGCAATGGCCAGGTCTGGGCAAAAAGCAGCTCTTAGGTCCAGAAAAAAACATACCATCCACTTGCTCAGCCATGAATCAATCACTGAGATTACGTGGAACGTCATGGGGCTCAGCGAGGTTTTTGTTTGATCACCCTCGAATACTAGCATCGAGTCTTCACACATTGAGCACTTATACTGTCATCATGGCCCCTATGATTGCTCCCAATTTCCTCCGTTATGAATGAAACTGGTGAAAGAGAACCGAGTAATGAGTGGATTATAGCCGCTCCCTTGTCTGTGCAAGGAGGAGGTCTGATCTCATCTAACATCATATCCTGTTTCAGGACAGTTTTAGTACAGTATTCTCAGCGTTTTTTTGGTTAGGGCTCGCCTTTATTGATAACTGCGCTGTAAATTAAAATAGTTTATGCGGCTTAATGAACCGAAATATTCCTTACGAATATGGGAGTCCCCAGCTTCGCAATATTTTATTAGTAATACAACAGCAATAACTAAAAGTAACAGAAATAATAATGACAGTGTCAGCAATGATAGTGACAATAATGATATTGATAATAATAACAGTAATAAAAATAATAAAATGGTAATAGCTAAAAATATGGATTATGCAGAAATGATGCTTCGGAGGGCGCAGGTCTGGCTACACGTTTCTGCGCAAAGCAGTTAGATGTAGAATAAAGTAGTAAATGATGACTTCGCTACAGCGTATTATTGTCACAGGGTCGATAACTCGTTCGCAACATTTTCCACCCTTTCACTTTCTCAAATACTTTTTTTTTAACGAAATACAAACTCGGTGAAGGTAGAGTTTATCGCCCTACCAGGAATATTCATTGTTCTATCTTTAAAATTTCTTTGAGACTTTACAAAATGCAATAGATTTGCATGCACGCGTAAGTTAGCCTGTGTTTCATCCCTTAGCTGTAAGCATACATGGCAGCGAGTGCGAGCGAGAACGACAGTCAATCAATACAGCTTCTCATCTGCTGTCTGGAAAATCAAGTTGTTAGTTTACTCATGGAATCGCTGAATTTAAGCCTATAACCAAGCAGAGAGAAACTAACAGGGATTTCCCTAGTAATGGCGAGTGAGCGGGAAAAAGCCCAACGCTAAATCGTTTTAACCTTTGTCTCTACAGAACTGTAGCATATAAATGTAACTTGGAGAGACTGTGATTAAAAAAAATAAAATAAGCAAATGCAATTCGTGTGTTTTGTGCTGCTTTCCACGTGCAATTTCCTTTGAGCATCCAGAATAATTCTAGCAATCATCGATCGACTGGACATGCAAATTTTTCTGGTAAAATGTGCATACAGTCGCTGCTCAGTGCTATAAAAGACGAGCAAAACAATGAATGCTGTCATTGTTCCATATTAGTTGTCCATCATCGTGCTAACATCCTGACACAGCCATGGATGATGAATGTAGCCGTT